CCTCACATGGTGCCTCTGCCCTGGAGTCTCAGAGCCTTCATCCTGCCCTTTAGACTGGCCAGGCCTAGTCTGGGGCCCTCCCAGCAGATATTCCACTAGCTAGGTCTATGCTTCCACTAGACTTTACAGCTCCAGCTCCTTACAAGCCAGGCTAGAAGGTCATCTCCTCTGACTACTCTTGACAGAAATCCATGCTACCATCCTCACACTTGTTCCATCATGGGGTCAATCACCTTCTACCCACCCCATCTTTGTCTCTCCTCCTGAGAACACCAATGCCATGAGTGATGGCTGTGTCTGGTTTGTTGTCTCGAGTCCAGGTGACTACACATAGCAGGACACTCAGTTCTCATTCAGGGAATGGGGAGGGCCTTTCAGAGTCCTGGGGTGGGCACATACCGGAAACTTAGCCCACAACCTCCATGGGCACATGAGTATACCCCTCCCAGAAACACTTGTGAAATGGGATCATGCAGCCATCTCACAGGTGATGCACCTGCCTGGATGGTATGTGGTGCAGAAAAAGGGCTTAGTAAATGCCTCTGAGGCTAAAGCCAGCACCTGCCCACAAGGTGAGGGGGCACACATGGGTCCTGCTGGCCTGTGGCCTGAGCACAAAACCAGGTAGAGGGAAATGGTCTGGTGGTTCCTCAAACAGTTAAACAGAATTATCATGTGACCCAGCAATCCCACTACTGGGTATAAACCCAAATAATCAAAAGCAGGGGGGCTGGGTGCAGTGGCTCATGTCTGTAATAGCGCTCTGGGAGGCTGAGGTGAGTGGATCACTTGAGCTCAGACGTTCAAGACCAGCCTGAGCAACAAGACTCCATCTCTAAAAATAGCTGAGTGTTGTGGTGGACCCCTGTAATTCTAGCTACTCGAGAAGGTGAGGCAGGAGGATGGCTTAAGCTCAAGAGTTTGAGGTTGCTGTGAGCTATGACACCATGGCACTTTACTGAGGGTGACAAAGTAAGACTCTGTCTCCAAAAAAAAAAAAAAAAGCAGGGACTCAGAGAGATACTGGCACATCCATGTTCACGGCAGCATTTCACATAATAGACAAAAAGTAGAAACTACCCAGCGTCCACCTGTGGATGAGTGGATGAGCAAAATGAGGTCCCTCCAGTGGAATATTATTCAGTTAGAGGAACGGAAGTTCTCACACCACCACAACACAGATGAACCCTGAAGCCATTAGGCTGAGAAAGATCATCACAAAGGACAACTACTGGGCTGGGCGTAGGGGTTAATACCGGTAATCCTAGCACTCTGGGAGGCCAAGGTGGGTGGATTGCCTGAGCTCACAGGTTTAAGCCCAGTTTGAGCAAAATTGAGACCCCCCATCTCTAAAAATAGCTGGGTGTTGTGGCAGGTACCTGTAGTTCCTGCTACTTGGGAGGCTGAGACAAGAGAATCATTTGAGTCCAAGAGTTTGAGTTTGCTGTGAGCTGTGACACCACGGCACTCTACCGAGGGCAACAAAGTGAGACTCACATGAAGTTCCCAGAGGAGTCAGACTCACAGTGACAGAAAGTAGGATGGAGGGTGCCAGGGGCTGGGGAGGGCTGGGGACTTAGGGCTTTGTGGGGACAGAGCTTTAGGTTGGGGGTGTAGAAAGAGCTCTGTGGATGGAGGGTGGTAATGGCTGAACAACCCTGCAAATGTGGGTAATGCCACACAATTGCACATTTAAAATGATTAAAAGGGTAGACTGTATATTAAATTTTATCACAATAAAAAAAAATTTTTGAGTCAGAGTCTCACTCTGTCACCCTGGGTAGAGTGCCATCAAAGTGCTATCATCATAGCTCACAGCAACCTCAAACTCTTGGGCTCAAGAGATCCTCTTGCCTCAGCCTCTCAAGTAGCTGGGACTACAGTGAAGAAATACCATCACCCCCGGCTAGTTTTTCTGTTTTTAGTGGAGATGGGTCTCACGCTTACTCAGGCTGGTCTTGAACTCCTGAGCTCAAGCAATCCACACACCTCTGCCCTCCAGAGTGCTACGATTGCAGGCATGAGCCATCAAACCTGGCCATAAAAAAAAAAATTCTAAAAGAACCTAGCTAGGCTGCTGCCATGGGGACTGTGAACAGTCTGCCCAGCCCCCTACTCAACAGACCCCTGCCCCTCATTCACCCACATTAGGTCAAATTCCTAAAACTCCTCCCCACCAAGGTACATCTGCCCCAGCTACCACTAAGTTCTGAAATGTCACCTCTGCCCTGGAGCTTTCCTGGGTTGAGAGGTTGGAAATCTGAGTCTACCCCAGGGGCCTGGGGCTCATGTATTCTGTCATCCTTGGGTCCTGGGGCCACCCCACAGCCTGGATCTGGCTGGGTTCTCAGGTTCAGGTGTAGAAAGAATAAGCAACCCCTGAACCACCCAGGACTCCACAGGACCATCTGATCTGGTTAGAAACAAGTATTTCCTCTTAGAGCCAGACCTCTAGAGCCCAGGGTGCTCCTGATGGTTTAGATGATCAGGCAACAGGCTTCAAGATACCACAGAAATGTTGCCCACACCCCAACCCAATTAAAGAGTAAAGACACATCAGTCTTTCCTGGGCATTGGATGGCCTGAGGCTCATTTGCTGCAATTAGGTAGCTCAGAGGAAGCACAAAGCCACCTCCGCCCTCCTCACCCAGGACAAGATCCCTACCCCGCCCAGGCCTTGTGGAAGAGTGGACCCAAGTACATCTACCCACCCATGCAGCCTATGATAAGAAAAGTCTCTCTGGGCAGCTGTTGTGTAAGGCTCTGTGTTCAGGGCTGGGGGAGCCCACCATGGAGCAGATAACAGGGAGGGTTGGTGGGGAGTTTCTGTGGGGGCTGCAAAGATTCTGCCTGCCTGTGGCCAGGGGCCCTCACATGGCCAGTGGGTGAAACCTGCCCAAGTCCACCCCCAGAAGCCTCAGGCCTGATAGTCAGACTGGCCTGGGCCTGCCCTGTGCCTCCCTGCTGTCTGGGGTGGATGCCATGGGGACCCTCACACATTTGATGCTTTGCTCCCACTGGCATGGTCAGAAAGACCGTAGCTGTTAGCTAGCCACATAATGATGTTCTATGACATTGGAGCATGCTGCCTACCCCTGCCCCATCAAGTCTGAGTGGCCTTCATGTTCTATCCAGGCCATAGCAGGGGACAGGAGGCCCTGGCTGTATCCATAGCAGTATAGAATAGAGACAGACTAGAGTGCCCATGTGGGGCCCCCACAACTCTAGGCAGGGAAGGACTGAAGAGGCTGGCACTGGCAGAGTGACCAGGACCTAGGCCACCTGGGGCTACATTCTCTGAGACAGCTCAAGTGTAAAGGTCTCCGTTTTCCCAGCTGTGAAATGGGAGCAACCCCCACATCTTGCCTGCCCCATGAAACTGCTCAATAAGCAGGCAGAATGCTGATGTCATGGACCCATCTGAAACACTAGAGGCTTATCCCAATACCAGGAAGTGCTGGGCCTTGGGGAACCCAGGCTGTGCCCAAGAGGCAAGTGAGACTGTGACAAGACATCAGCCCTGGATGGAGTGGCCAGGCTGGGATGGAATGCCACTCACCACAGGGACCCACCAGGCAAAGGAAGCCCCCTCTTCCTACTACCAGGCCGAAGGCCCCCAGGGTGGCTGCAGTGGGACTCTGTTCCAGACATGCTGCTCCTGGCACTATGGCCAGAGGAGAAGAGGCTCAGGAATAAGGCCAGCTCCCTCCCCTGGGCCACCCCCAAGCCAGGCCTGAGAGACTAGTGCAGACTAACCCTCCCACTTGGTTTTCCCACCTGGTTCTGCCTGCACAGTGAGCTTTCCTGAACAAGTGGAAATGCAGTCTGGAAGAAGGTGGTGGGGAGAATCGAAGGTGAGCCAGCCAGGCTGGTGGGTCAGTGCCCAGCAGCAAGGGCAAGCCCGCCCCCACAGCACTATTGGGATGGGCTCTGCAGCTGCCCTGCCTCAGGAGGCCAGGGGAGGCTGCCTCAGTCCAGTTCGACTCCCCAGAAGAGCCTGCTAGGGCCTTAGGGGGCACACATAGGATCTTCCAACCCTTCCATTGTGGGGTACCTTGGCCACCCCACAGTGAGGTTTGCTCTGAGGGGCTCAGTTTAGGAGTCCCCAGATTCCTGGTATGCCTAGAGGCAGGCCTGAGGGGGGCCAGCACCTTGCCTTGGGTGGCATGAGCAGGTCAGCCTCTAGAGGCTGTGCCTGCCTGGTCCTCATCCCACAGCCCAGGGCAGGCCTGGAGCTGCCAGTTCCAGGGCAGAGTCAGGGCTGATCTGAGAGCCCAGAGCTTCCTTTATAGCCAATCGTGAGACAAGCACTCTGGAGCCAGGGGTCTAGTGCCTTTGGACTGGAGCATCTGGAAGTCACCCCAGAGCAGAGCCACCAGGGAACAAGTCTGAGAGATGCCAGGCTGGGAGGACAGGGTGGCAGGTGAACTGAGGGGCCTGTCTCCAGGCCCCACCCTTCCCAGGGCCCCACCTGTCCTGGCCACCTGCTCCTGACCAGCCAGGTGCAGGCGCTGGGGGAGGGGTTCCTTCTGGCTCAAAGTGCTCCCTCCCCTGCTCTGATCAGTGCTACAGGATGGCTCCTGGGGCGCAGACAGGAGGGCATGACGTCACCACTAGAGTGGGGGAGAGCCAGGTGGACCCCACACCCTTGTATACACCCTCTGCAGCCCTCTGGTTCCTTCCCTACAGTCGGCGCCCACCACGATTTCCTCTTTCTTCGTGGAGCCCAAGGTTTCGCAACACGGCTGGTGGCCGGGGGTGACAGCGAAAGACACACAGCCCGGCGGGGGAGGGGAGGAGGCGCTGGAGAGGGGCACGGGAGGTGCCCGCCAGCTTGGCCCACGCCAGGGCGAAGTCCAGGTCCCTGCAGGTGCACCGGAGCTGCACCCCAGCCGCGTGCGGACCTGCTGGGTGGGAGGCCCCCATCCCCAGAGACGTCCGCTGTACCCCGCCCGGTACCCAAGGCCCAGCCCGCGCCCGGTTAGCCAGCCCGCACCTACCCGGAGCACCGCAGTCAGCACAGCGCGCATTGCCCGGCTGCCGCCGCAGCTCCAGCACGGCTCCGCGCCTCTCAGTGGCCATGGCCGCTGCCCCCACGCCACCGCCGCCGGCTCGCTAGGACCCAGCGCAGGCTGCCCGCCGCCGCCCCTGCGCCATCCCGTCCGCCTCAGCCCGCGCGCCGGTTCCGCATTCCTACTGCCTGCCGGCTCCGCCGCTCGTGTCGCCTCGCGGCTGCCCAGCGTGTGCCGGCGTGGGGCCGGGGCGCACGGTGCACTCTGGCCGGCACAGCCCGCGGGCGGCCCCCAGCGGCGCGGCCGGCGACCTCCTCTGGTGTCCGCCCTACGCCCCAGCCGCGCCCGGCCACCCACCCCAACCGTACGGTGCCACCCGCCCGGGCGCAGTGCCACCCAACACGCTGGTGGAGGGCTTGAGCCAACCAAATAACCGGCAGCCGGAGCGGGGGAATCCTGGCACAGTGACTGGTGCGGAAGGGCGGAGTCCTCAGATGGACACTGGAACGAAGGTGTGGAGGAAGGTGTGTGCCCAGCTGAGGCCAGGGTGCTCAAACCATCCCAGCCTTTGGCGATGACACTCTAGTGGCCCAGGGCTCAAGCCACAGAAGCCTGCTGAGTGCTCCACTCTCAGACTAAACCCCGTTGCCCAGGCACCCACAGACAGGTCCAGCGCTGGCCAGGGAGCTGGGCACCCTTTGGGCTGAGGGGCTCAGGTATACCGGAAGGCAACATGAAGGGTGACAGTAACAAAACCTGGTTTGATGTCATCTCCCCCAGAGTGGAGTTCCTTCCTTTGCAGGCCTCAGCATCTTTTCAAATTCTTTCCATTTTCTTCTTTAAAAAAAAAAAAAAAAATTTTTTTTTTTTTTTGAGACAGACTCTCACTCTGTCACCCTGGGTAGAGTGCTGTGATGTCATTGTTCACAGCAACCTCAAATTCTTGGGCTCAAGTGATCATCTTGCCTCAGCCATCCGAGTAGCTGGGACTATAGGCCTTTGTCACAAGGCCTGGCTAATTTTAGAGAGATGAGGGTCTCTCTCTTGCTCAGTCTGGTCTCCAACTCCTGAGCTCAAGCAATCCACCAGCCTCCCAGAGTGCTAGGATTATAAGCATGAGCTACAGCTCTTCCTAAAATTTTAATGCAATACATCCTGTTTAAAAAAAAAAAAAAAAAAAGGAAACTGGCTAGGCACAGTGGCTCATACCTATATTCCTGGCACTTTGGGAGGCTGAATTCTGAGGATCCCTTGAGCTCAGAAGTTTCAGACCAGCCTGAGTAAGAGCAAGACCCTGTCTCCACTAAAAATAGAAAAATTAGCTGGCCATTGTGTTGGGAGCATGTAGTTCTAGCTATTCAGGAGCCTGAGGCAGGAGGATCACTTGAACTCAGGAGTTTGAGGTTGCTGTGAGCTAGGATGATGCCATAGCTATAGCTTGGGCAACAAAATGAGACTCTGTCTCAAAAAAATAAAAAAATGGAAACATACCAGACTGAAAAATTAGAGCCTCTTCTAGACAACTGCTATGAGCAAACAATTATTTCACGCCTTCCAGAATGGTCTGTTTGCCATGGCCTTGCTCTCGCAGGTCAGCACTAGGGTTTTTACTGGGTGTATGGTTTCGCCTAACAAAATTGCCTTCCTTCCACACTGATGCCCACAGACCCACCTCTTTCTTCTTGCTGGCTGCATTCTACTCTAAGTTCAGTAGAGCTTTGCCTTTTTCACTGGCCTGGGGGCAGCTGGGGCATTTTCAGTCCACTGGAACCACAGATAGGCCACATCATCTCCCCAACCACCTGCCTCTCTGCACATCTGGCTGGGTCACATCCAGAGGGGCATCTCTGGGACACTGGATACTGACATTTGAAAGGCTGGTAGACCTTGCCAAGTGGCCCTCCACTAAGGCTACACTGATGCACAGTCCACCAGTGGCTCCTGCCTGGTCCTACATTAGATAACAGAGGTTTTTAAGAACAGGGCAACCTATCTCGGTTTGGACTTTTAAGGTGCAAGCCCTGTCCTGTCATGTGCTCTCTCCCTTGGTCACCCGTCTTTCTCCTCAATCAGCCTGGAGCCTTTTTGGGTAGGGGCAGGTGGCACTCTTACCCCTGGCTCCCTGTGCCAGGCTTGGAATCCACTACACAGAAGGAGCTTTGAGAATGCTGCATAATGAGACAATAACAAAACCTGGTTATTTTTAACACCTCCCCCATTAGGCTGATGCTAAATATAGCTCTGCGGCAGGCATTGTATTTTCTTAACCCCCTGCTTATTTAGTCAAGGAAACTGAGGCCTGGAGTGGCCAAAGCCACATATCAGTTATGTTTACTGGCATGAGCGGTATAAATATTAAACAGAAAGGGAAAGAGAAACAAGAGACATGCACTCTAATAGGTCAGCACTGCCTGAGATCCCAAAGGGGAGAAAAGGTACCATAGTATAGGTGAATAGGAAGGGCCCCCCAGGAGGCTACAAGACCTTTTTTGCTGTGTGGGGCCCTCCTGCTTCTCCTCTGTCCTTTTATCCCCCCACATAGGTGGGGGCATTGTCTGGGCAGGTGGGAAGGAGTAGGGACTATGGTGGGTATGTGAGCTGCACAGATCAAGGACATGGGAACAGTGAACAGGTTCCCCAGAAGGGGAGGGCCACTTGATGGAGCCATGCCTACTCACACCCATTGCCAGCAACTGCTGACCTGTTTCCTGCTCCCCCTGCCCTAAGCCCTTATTTGGCTGGGCAGCAGGCCCTAGCAGCAAGCCCTTTGAGAGCAGGGTGTCTCCTCCAGCATCCCCTGAGCATAAGCCCATGTACAGGAAGTCCATAGTCTGCTTTGATCAGGAGCTGGTCTCTCACCAGCTTATGGGGCCCTTGCTCACCAGCCTTTCTTCACTCCCCTCTCCATCTCCTCCTACCAGGAACAGACACAGGCTCCAGGCTGCTTGGATTGATGTCCTTTGGGGAGAGATGGAAGCACTTTGGAAACCCAAGTCTGGGTGTGTTTTCTTCCCCAATGCCAAAGGAAACTAGGCTGTGCCCATTGAGAGTCCTTCAGTTCCTCTGCCCGCACCCTGGGCCTTACCCAGCCTAAGCTCTCCCTCCCACTATCCTAAGCTACACCAGCACAGGAGTCCAACCTCTGCCCTGCTCCTGCCTTTTCCTTTCTAGACACCTGCCTTGTCACACTCTTTCAAGCCACACAGGTCCCATGCATGTGCATATTCATCCAGTAGATGCCCACCCAGCACCCTGAGTGCCCAGCCCTGGCCATTAGCTGGGGTCCAGCTGCTCTTGCCTTCCTGGGAGGCTGTACACAACCTCACAATCTTCCATGGGAGGCAAGGCCAATGTCCCAGGGAGGACAAAAGTGGGGAAGCTTTCTGGAGGGTTCAGGTGAGGAGAATGTTTGCACAAAGTCCTAGTGCATGAGTGTCCAACCTGTGGTCCATAGGTCACATGCTGATTTTGTGAGGATTTCTTTCATTTATCTCTGGTGTCAAATGTCTTAAAAAGTATGCTCAGACCCCCTTTTTTTTTGCTAATCAGCTTTCATTAGTGTTTGTGTATTTATTTATTTATTTTTGAGACAGAGTCTCACTCTGTCACCCTTGATAGAGTGCCATGGTATCACCGTAGCTCACAGCAATCTCAAATTCTTAGACTTAAGTGATTCTCTTTGCCTCAGCCTCCCAAGTAGCTGGGACTACAAGTGCCTGCCACAACTCCTGGCCATTTTTAGAGATGGGGGGTCTTGCTCTTGCTCAGGCTGGTCTCAAATTCCTGTGCTCAAGCAAATCCACCCACCTCAGTCTCCCAGAGTGCTAGGATTACAGGTTTGAGGCACCACACACAGCCTGTGTTTGTATAAAACAACTCTTATTCTTACAATGTAGAGCAGAGAAAAAAAGGTTGGATACCCCTGGACTAGGGCCTGATGCCCCTGGGCCCTGTGGGCTACCAGGGTGGAGGGTTCTTAAAGTCAGATCCAGAAGACCAGAGACCAGACCTTGTCCTGAGGGGCTAGGGAGTAGGGTAGGCCTGAACAGTCCCTGGGGAGAAGTCTAGTGCTAGTCATACCTGTAGGGAGGGAATGGACATAGGACACGCTCCCCAGGAAAAGGTCTGGGGCATCAGGGACTGGTGGTGCCATGAAGGCCACTGGTGTAGAGTTAGGTCCCCTGGGGTTTCTGCTCCAGTTCCCCTGGGGCAGTCAGGCCACTGAATCAAATAGAAGGTCCATGTGGGGGCCATGGGCACAAATGGAGAGGCACCAGGGCCACAGTCTGGTGGGCTACCCAGGAGAGGGCTGGGCAGACCACACTTCAAAGGAGAGGACAGGAGGCTACACGAGGCCCCAGCATCACAATCTCCCATCCCTAAAGCCTGGGGTACAGAGCTGTGAGCTGCCCACACTCACCTGTGCCTCCAGGGCCCCTTTCCTGGCTCTCCTGAGGCTTGCAAGGTGACCTTCAAGGTCACGGCCAACATCCCAGGGCATCAGAGCATGGACTGTTTGATTGAATTAGCCCCAACATCTATGGGAGAGGAGGAGTGTGAACAAGACCCCTGGTTCTCTTCCTCTGGGCTTGGTGGCTCCTGGTTAAGCAACCCCATAGTAGGTCAGGTAGGGTGTTGGCAAGATGGGAGCTGTGCAGGACCAGCCCAGGCCTCAGGCTCCACACCTGTGCTGGCCTCCAGCACCTGCCCAGGGTGCTATGACCACATTTCTCTGGGTGCCAGCCTTGACCCCACCCCTCTCCTTCCAAGCCTGTCCCACAGGGGGACCCCAGGGCCTCCCCATAGGAGGGAGCTGGGCTTTGGGGCCTGTCCTCGTCTGTGTGCCTGAACGTCCACAGGGGCAAGGCTCAATCCCCAAGGAGCCAGCTCCCAGGACAGCGAGTCCAGCGTCAGGAAGGCTATGACCCTGCAATGCAGGCTGTGGTGAGGGGACAGTTCCTGTTTTAAGCAAGCTCGCAGCTTGCAGCAAGCCATTCCTGCAGCCACCCTCAGCCTCTGCCTCATTCCCAGAAAAAGGAGAATACCTTTTATCACCAAGAGAAACAGAAAATCAAAAGGAAAGATGATCTGCAGCATTTCTAAGCAGCTCTGCTCAGGAAGGGCTTAGGGGAGACAGAGAAACTCCCTGGGAACAGCCCCATGGAGCTGGTTTGGCACTACTTTCTGGGAGTGGGGCTAGACCCAGGAACCCTTCATAAAGTAGGGTCAACAGGGGTCTTCCCAAGAGGACAGGCTGGGCCTCTTGATAATGGCGAATGTATAGGTTTGCTTACAAAGTT